CACCCCATGGACTTAGTCCAACATAAGGAATCTTGGATCACAAGCCCACATATATAAGAATGAGTGATTTACACAATCAACCCATATATTTAATTAGTCTCCTTTTGATCACTTAATTAATTCCAAATTAATTCTTGATCAATACTAATTAAATAACCTTATTAATATATTAGAACTTATAATATATTAACCAACCCTAAGTGTTATTTCTCTCATTATAGTCTATCCAAATGCATGATGCCATGCAACCCAAATGGACCATGCCGGGTCGGGTCAAGTCTTACCAATTATAGTTATGGACTTAGACATTAATCCAACACTTCCTCCTTCCTTGAGGTCAAAACCCACAAAAAAAACTCAAAAGCCTTAGATCTTCCACCAAAACACTTAGGGTTTTCTATGGAGGGTTTCTGGGAGCATAAAGGGGCGATGGAGGTGTATAAGGTTGTTTAAATAGGGTGCAAACCCTCAGATTAGGGTTTGTCCAGTCAGAGCCTACTCGTCGAGTCCGGGACCCGGCTCGACGAGTCCATCACTTAAATCCCGCGTCTCATCCCGCTTCTACTTGGCGAGTTGGGCCTTCAACTCGCCGAGTCCCAGGCCAAAAATGCAAAATTACTTAAATAAAATACATACCAGGAACCATGTGCTACAACATAGTCCCTTTCATGAACATGATTTTAATACAAGTATTGATTGATTTATTAAATATATGTTTATGTGCGAATTATTTGATGTTGCCTGAAATACGTGCTAAAGAACATACCTGATTATATATGATGATTTAGGGCAAGAGTAAACCTAAATTAATTATGAGGAATATTGGGTAGAATCTTCTACGAGTACGAGTGAGTTATACTTAGAGAATAGAACTTTAGTATATGTCATTGATCCGGGAGTATGGATTAGCCATAGTCATTGTCCCTAGTCCGAGAGTATGGATTGTACACGGTCAAATGTCATTAATCCGGGAGTATGGATTAAGACATAGTTAGTTGTCCTTAGTCCAGGAGTATGGACAGGACACAGTTGTTCGTCATTAATCCGGGAGTATGGATTTACACATAGACACATGTCCCTAACCCGAGAGTATGGAATAGGCACACTTATTGATCCGAGAGCATGGATTAGATCGAGAGTATGGACTAAGTAAGAGGTAAAATTTAAGGTCCGAGAGTATGGATAGTCTCGTTGTGAGGATTAACGGGGTGGGGTAAGAGTTGCTTATATATATATCTATAATATATAGATATATATATATATATATATATATTATATATATATATATATATATATATATATATATGGTGAAATCGTATAGTTTGTAAGTTCTAAATTATATGATATAACATTGTGGGATTGAAATCCCTATGTACTCACCAGGTTTCCCAACCTGACCCACTCAAGCTATTTGTATCACAGGTGTCGATACGAAGCTACTTTTACATGAGAGATTTAAAAGAGATGTAGATCACTAATGTAAATAAATGTAAGTTCTGTTTATGCTTATGTTTCTATATTGACGATGACATCCCAAATGTTTTAAAATGAATAAAAATACATTTCTTCGGAAATGCTTTGATAACGTATTTATAATGTTTTTTTCTGGGAACAAATTCCGCAACATTTTTATTAAAAGAAGTACTCTGATTTTTATAAAGCATAAACAAAATCGGTCTTTTCTGGCCGTGAAAATGGGGATGTCACACTTTTAGGGGGGGGGGGGGGGGAATACAAGTAGAACACAATTAAATTGTGTTAACATTTACATGTGGAAACAAACAAACAAAAGGATTTCTTATGCTTAAATATTTGTCAAAATCATTTTAGAAACTCTTTTAAAGTATTTTTAGAATTTTGTTTATATCAAAATCATATTCATTTACATATTTATGTATGAGTATGTTTTAGCGGACTTAGGACTATTGCTAAATACCGTAACTCATGTTCTTTGTTTGGTTGTGGGCTTAGGGTAGGATTACTAGTCCGAATGTCGGCTAAATCATAATTATACTTGCTAAATATATACATGAATATTAAACCCCATTTTCAAACAACATACTTAACTCTGTTGCATATGTTGGGCAATTGAGTCTTTTCTCCAAATCATTTACAGTTCATGCATACATACTAGTAAACTATAATAGGTATAGTTTAGAGGATCAATAGATATTATTTTCTAGAACAGAGAACAATACATGAATCAATACATACATACTAGTATTATTCATTACAAAGTATACTATTCATTTTACAAGAACAAAAAGGATTTCTCAGTTATTACTCATAATACGTTGAAACAATTTGTGAGTCATTCTTATGTCCTTATCTAAGTATGGGTAGGATTCCTGAGCTTATAACCAGAGTCTCTTGTAGGGAGAGCGATGACAATTGTCTATAGATCTATTTCAGGATTAACAATCTCGTACCTTGGTTGTTAGCTACAGTTGGGACCGTCAGGTCTACGGGTGGAAAATGTCGTTAACAGTTTTGATGCCTGAAAAACGTCGTTATCAGGCAGACAGGGTTACTATGGTTATAAGAACTCACAGGGAGAAAATCTCGACCTATTTCTGAGTAACATATATTCAAATAACTTCATTTGATTAGTCATCTTACAATCGGTTTACAAAACAAACTTACTTCAGTGGTGTTATTTTAAACAATACTACTGCAAGTTATTACTTTCCATTATATACATACAAAAAGGTTTATACATGAACAAGCATTCTATTTTACTAGAAAGGATAGTCTATGATTATGGAAAACATACATTATACAATTTCAGAGTACAAACACACATTATACAATTTCAGAGTACAAACATACATTATATAATTTCAGAGTACAAACATCCATTACACTATTACAGAGAACAAAACATACAAACATTTGGGTCTTAGGGTTGAAGACTACATTTCATTTATTATAGAAAATATAGGATTTTCTGGAGAACATAAACTAACACTTTCATAGATCAAATACAAACATTAAATATTAAATACTTATGAACTCACCAACTTAAATGTTGATACTCTTTTTCAAAATAACTTGTATTCTAAGGGAACCAGTACACAGGTACACTAGCACAGGTTTCGAAAAGACAGAGCATGTTCAAGACTTGTCTTTTATTTTGCTATACTTTTTAGTGTCATACAACTATACAATGAACACACATGTATTAACTATATTATTAATGCAATGGATGTTGTTGCTTGTTTTACTATTTTACATTTGTTGTGATACTGAGCATGACGTCCTCCGCCCCCGAACGTTTCCGCCGTTTCGGTTTGGGGGTGTGGCATAACTCGTTGAGCAAAGGGTAATATTATACCAAGTCCATAGAATTGTTTTACGACACTTTCGACGTTATCCTGAAAATATGGGATAATGTCATTTACAAATGCTTTCATTCCAAAAACACGTACACTCGTTGATTGGAAATTGTGAGACGCTGTCTTCAATCGTACCTAACTGAGGTATATTCGCAAGTCCTGTATTTATAACCGGAACCTCCGATACGAGGGCGTGATGTTTGTGTATAGATCTATACGGGGACTGATGATCCCACACCCTAGTTGTTAGCTACAGCCAGACCAGTAGGTTATGGGTAACAAATGTCATAAATATCTCGGCGCTTGAAGAACGACGAGATAGGCACCATATCTTAAAAGCACAGTTATAGAAAACTCACATATTGAGACGACGTTACGTATGTTTTTACACGAAAACACCCTTCTTCAAACGGTTTTATATACGAATAAAACTACCTATTACTACTTTAATGTATGGAAAACACTGGTACATTTCGGTTTTGTAACTTTTACAGCTTGCATCTAATTCATTAGAAAATATTGGATTTTGTGGAACAACATTAACATATTACAAGTGAACGGCTTACATTTCATTATTTGAAAATATTTGATTTTCTGGAACAAACATCCTTATTTTACAAGTAAACGGCTTACATTTCATTATTAGAAAATATCGGATTTTCTGGAAACAAACACGATATCTTTTCACGGAAATGCTTACTATTTTCATATAAACTCTTATGAAATCACCAACTTAAATGTTGACACTTTTTCAAACAACTTGTATTCTCAGGAAACTAGAAAAACAGGTAAACACCAGTTTTTGAGGATGGAGCGCTAAGGTGTCAAACAAGTCTTTTTGTCATCATATTGTAATTGACTTTTGGAACATGTAACACCTACAATGATGTAACTTTTTTTTTCAATTATATATGTAACACCTACAATGGTCATGTTTGCAAGGGGGTGCCATATGAATCCACCACCAGTCGATCAGAAAAGATCAGAGACCTTTTTGCAAACTATATATTTCTGTAACTGTTAATTTGTTATGATTTCACTTACAAAACTCATATTAAGCACACATTAATCTTGTGATTATTAGATGTGTATAATTTCATCATAAATGGACGGTCATAGAATGTGTACTACAAATAACACCACTCTACAACGAATATGAAGGCACTAGAGACTAAAATACAAGAAAAAATCTCTCACATTCTACTACTTTTGCTTTGTTTTTTTGCTGTATAGAAGGTAAAATTCAGGTCTTTGTTAGGTTCGGCGATCTTGAAAAATCGTTCCAAGCCGTTGTATCTTGGCAACAAACACCCGATAACGGTCGAATTTGTTTAAGGCTACCGTGCTAAACACATGTCTCAACATTTTTTTGTTTTCTTGTTTGATTTGGTACATTTTTGTAATACAATTCCTACCATAGCAATTTGGTGCATTTATAAGTTTTATCTTTATAAAACATACCCCACATCTTTTCTTTTTCTGTCATATATAGCTTCTATCAATACTCTTGAATTCTGTTTGTACATCTTTATTCAAATCTCATGGACTTTTTATCATTCTCTTTCATATCAGATTTATTGTAATACTTCAAGAATCAACAACACTTTGCTTAAATGATACATATTACTTAACCAAAATCTCGAATTGGACATTTGGAAAGTTTATTCAGTTAAAAGATGTGCAGTCCCTTCTTATTTCCCCCTGGATGCCGATTTTTATGCCGGTCCGCCCAAGCTTCCTCATAGCAGTTACAAACGCCGCGTTAAAATCCCCAGGACTGTTTGCAAAATCATTTACCGTTGGCTGAGACGACGAGTCTGTAAAAAGAACTTCATCTGATGTAAACAAACCTTTCCCTGCTATTAAGTTCTGGTAATAAATGTTATCAAAAGTCCGAGGAGTTTCGGGATCCATATCTATAGCAATATCAGGATCTACATTTTGAGGGCAAGCAGCCATTAATTGTTGAGCGTAGGTGGGATTTAAAGAAGGGTCAACCGTGGAGGCTGGTGAAAATGAGTATAGACGGTTGGCAAAACGATTGCAGTGAGAGAAACCGAGTGTGTGGGCTCCTGAAAGTGCGACCATGTGAAGTTCTGTGAGGTTGTTTCTTTGCAAACATGGTGTTGAGTTGAATGAGATTGAAGGTTGGATCCGGTAGGTTTCCGGCCACTCGTGATGCTTGTGAAATAAGTCCATCTCGTCGACCTAATTCCACGTTAAAGAGAGGCCCCCCAGCCTGCATGAATAGAACGCTAGTTTGTAGTTAATGTTTCAATAATTTACTTCAAGAAAAAAAGACATGCAGTTGCATTTAAGGAAAACCGGCGATTCAAGGTACATATTGTTGTTAACGAGTGTAATGGATTAAATGAAACGCAAAAATTGATCAAACGGTTTTAATTAACGCTGCTCTAAGCACATATATATAATTAAGGTGCTAGTATGATGGATTCAACCCATTAGTCTTGTTTGCTTGGATATATGGAATGAACTTAACATTCTCTAATTCTCTAAAGAATGTGATTAGTATGACTTTGTTAAATTTTCCTGGTTAGCTGGGATGTCTATTTCTTTCTTTCTTTTTTTTTTAGAGAATAGGTCAATTTTATGCTATATTTTAATGAATGTTTTTTGTAATAAAGTTCATTATTTTATTAAATTAAAATTATACTTTTCTGTATAACTAGAAAATATTGTTTATTTTTGTAAAGAGAAGTTCATTAATTTTAATTAAAACAATGTTTAGTTAAATTTTATAGTTTTTATTTGCATAAAAATGTTATGTAAAAGAAATTAGTAAAGTTTTTAAATATCTAAATGATATAAAACATAAAACTAAATAACTAAAAACACTTAAAAATTAGTTAAATAACTTTTTGGATTATGAAATTTTATGTTTTAAACAACTTATGTCCAATAACTTATGTCCGGAATTTTTTCTTTAATTTTTTTTAAAGCTAAAAGTTTTATAAAACTATTTAATATAGTTTTTGGATTATGAGATTTTTTTTTGAATAAAATAGAAATTGTAATCTTTTACTACCTAACAAACTTTTTCTTTTTTTCAAGTTTTTACTAAAATCAAAAAGTTAGAAGATCTAAAAGATTTTGTTCTTAATTAGATGTTTAACCAAACTTGACTTTGATGAGATATTATGAACTAGAATTTGAGCTCGTTAAGTTCATGCTCAAGTAAACAATGTTTTTAATTAAGTGGTCGTGTTTTAAAGCTCAAACAAAGACGTGTAAAACTCGATTTTACTATAGTGTGTAAGACTGTGTTTTATCAATACTTTTTTAATCATATCTAATTCATTACTTCTTCACAAACGTAATAAACAAAGATAAAATATTTTAATAAGTTTCATTTGCAGACGTTAACTCTTACCTGGGCCACCACATCTCGAGCGGCAATGGCTAAAACGTCGGCACACGACACGACACCAGGGCAAACAGACTCGACCGCTTGTTTAGCTTTGATAACTGTATCGAACCCATCGCCAGCGAGCGAAAGATTGTCCTCCGCATCCTTCTCGGCGTCTCCGTTCGGTGATGAGATCATAACAGAAGCATCACATCCCTGCATGCATGGAAAACAGCTTAGAAACTCCATTTAAACGATAAAACGAAAGCTTTAAATAAAATACCTCAACAAAACAGTCATGGAAAAAGAGACGAAGAGTGGCCGGAATTGTTGTAAACGTCTGGCCGACCTTTGTGACCACCGTCTGTCTCACGATCGCTTCCACCATCGGACAGGTTCCCGCATAGAAATTCTCAACCAGTTGACCTTTCCCAGCTCCGGCAAGAACCACCAGCGTGATCAAAAAGTGTAATACACTTCTCCGCCGTGCCATCTCTCCTTCTCAAACACACAGGCAAACTCCAAGTGATCGACAAATAAACTTTTAGTATTGGCATATTCAACCTGGAGTTGTTATAAGGTGTACAGAGTTGACAAAATTGCAATAAACGGTCAACTGATCTTCCAATTTGTAAAATTTAATAGGGAGAGTGACGCAATTTGAAACCTACCACACGCATGCTATCTATGAGAACTGGTATGGTACTAGTCATAGTCATAGAAGAAATCTCTGATGCAGCATTGCACGAAACTGTGTTGCTGTAGAATTGGCAAATATCGACCGGATAATTAGCATGATGGATTGCGATATTTAACCTGTTTAATTAATTAAACTCGTCAAGTTGGATTAGGGTTGAAGATATTTACTTGAAATCATCCTTGAACCGGTTTAAATGTATGTTTTTGTTTTCACTACTTTTATATATTATCTAGAGTCAAATTATAAATGAAGGTGGATTTTCTAGAATATAAGATTAATTATTCAATTAAATGTAAGATTCCAAAACTATAACAAGATAACCATCGACCCCTCAAATAATTTAATGTGAACTCGTAATCATTTTTTTTTAAATGTTTTCTGTTTAAATTCAAACTTTAATCCTTGTCTTCTCTTTCAATGGAAGGTGAAGACACCGTAAAGTAGCGTTTTTGGAGTTTGTCGAAAGCATTACATCGCAACATGATAGTAAAACGTTTATGCTTTACGTACCATTATTCTCATGATAAAACCATTGTCTTGATTATAGGTCTTAAATATATTTATCATTCGTGAAAGGTAAGAATGTGGGTTCTTTTTTACCAATACTCCATGTTTCCATCATATCCATCCTCAACATCAGAAGTAATCGGTGGTGATCAGAAAAAACAATTTTGTTCGCAACAATATCCTGGACATAATTTTTCAATTTAACCATCTGTGAGACAATTTTTGTACATCATAGATATTTCTGAAGGATATGGGATCACAATATGCTACTAAAAATAAGTGGTTATGTAACGTCCCAAAAATACTATGTAAAAATTTTCTTTAAGTCAACCAAAACAATTATTCGTTCATTCCAAAACCTAATCAAAGTAAAAGGATAATGTATCAAAAGTCAACAGAGTGAAAAAAAATCATAGAATGCGGAACACTGGTGGATGTTGTGTGATCATGTCGGGCCCTTCCCTTTTAAACCAAAAATAAAAAAACATTAAACCATAAAATCGTAATCACAAAGCTTAGTGAATTTCACCAAAATACCGTATATCACACATACATATCATCTCGAAGGTATAACGAGTCTATTTCACCCCCGATTCTATTTCAATTCAATCGGTATTTTTCAACCAAACGGGTCTATTTCACCCCCGGGTCTGTTTCACCCACGAGTCTATATCATATCAATCGGTATTTTTCAACTGAACAGGTCTATTTCACCCCACATACAAAAATCATACAGGCATATCAGCAAATGTCACAAAGATAACAAGCACATACATGCATATCAACAAGTGTCACAAAGAAACTATCATCCTACAAACAAATCTAGTGGGCTGGCATTGGTGCCTTCGACCCACGAGTATAGTGAAGAGAATCACCTCTCAGACGATGATCAATTACGACTGCTCTCACAGCCAAAATACAGATGTTATACAACACATATATAATCACACAATGTAAGCCCTTAGCCATCCTTCCAAAACCAGGAGTTTGACCAACAGTCAACTCAAGTCAAAAGTCAACCGTCAAAGTTGACTTTAATCGACTGCCACGCCGTGGCCAATACACGTCATCACATACAGGAATTTCTCAGACGCCACGTTGTGGCGACCTAAGGCCACGCCGTAGGCACTAGGTTCATAACAGCTTTATGTGTTAAGTCGTTTTCTTCGATTCTAAGAGCTCTAAAGCTCATTTATGGTCCTTCCTATGGTCTAGATGGATAAAGTTTCCAACTTTATCCCCTAAGACCCTCCAAGAGATCAAGATCTCAAACCCTATGTCCAAACAAGGAAAAACATAACATGTACTTAATCAATAAGCACAAAATTTTGAAAAATTCTTTTCCATCACTTCCATTGCATGTCTTGAACTCATATTAGGCCACAATAAGGGTTTTATGACCAAGATTTCATGCATGACACCAAAACTCATTCATACTTTAGATCCAAAACACCAAACACCCCAAATGACCCAGAGATTCATAATGTTGCAAACTTTATGATATATCACCACCCCAACCCATCAAAACCTGAAGAATAAAGGACAAATCTAGAGATCTAGCAACTTAGCAAAGAAAAGATTGAGTCTTGGACACTCACCAAGGTGTAGAAAATATGCTAGAAGTTGACTTGCAACGTGAAGCACTACACCAAAAAGGAATCCTTTTCCTTCAAAGGTCACAAGAAGTACCAAAATGAGCTCACAATATGCTAAGGAGGCTAGGGTTAGGGTTTTTCAGCTTGGGAGGGCGATGAAGGCTGAATGATCAGAAACCCTAGCCATAATGTCCTTTAAATAGGGCCTAAAGCCCAACGATAAGGGTTTTCTCCAAAAGCAACTGTCACGCCATGGCGGGACATTAAAATCCTGTGATCATAAAAAGTACTGTATCGCAATGGTGAAGCTCCACCACACCTTGCCACCCAAAGTGAAAGTTTAAAATTAGAAATTAACTCATACCAGAAATAGGTGTTACAGGTTAACAAATAATCTTGAATCATTTATTCGCACATGTGTGTAATTCTATTCATCATAGTCACAACAATCTACACAGTCACATTCGTTATCGGCATCTCTAGAATTCAAAGTGGCACATATGGAAGCCATACAATCGAATATAGTTTACAAAACTATCTTGGAATTTATTTCTTACTTTAAACATTTGTCAGATCTCTTGGATAACCAAGAGATCGTGTTATCAGCCTTAAAAGTTAAGGACCTTCGACAGTCGGTCATTAGGCATGTGTCACAGGTCTTAATTACCTATTTAGTGGGCATTATTGAAGTCGCAAATCTGTTACATCCACTGCTAGATATGTAAAGTATATTGCCAACACTACCTTAACTTAATTGGAAATCACATTAAAATGTTTGATCTTCACAATAAGACTGATGATGGAAGTTATCACCCCTCGACCGTCAGCAAAACCACCAAGGTTGCAATGTAAAACGTTGGATCACGGTTAACAACACATATTGAAGGTACAAGGTTTTACAATAACATTACATTCTTTCATAACTCTAGTATGAGGAACTAAATTGTTGTCAATCTAACAGACGATAACTACTAGAACAAGTTCTTCAAATATAAGTCAAAAATTAACAAAAGGCCTAACAGATTGGCCAAACATTTAAATAAGGAAATGCATAATTCCATGACACACGAGTGTGTCTTCCAGCTCCTAAGTTTCTAAAGATACATACGTTTGAAAACAATATGTCAACAATAATGTTGGTGAGCTTTACAAGTTTAGACAATGTAAGTTTTTATAATCAAAAGTGTGTTTAGACAAATGAATTATACAATTATAAAATGAAATATGTTATTCCCTTGTAAACCTATACAAGTAAAAGGGATTTTTATCGTTCTGACTTCATGTATTTTTCTAATCAAAAGTGTGTTTATACTAATGAATTATAAAAGTGTCGAGTACAATAGGTTTTACACTTTCCATACAAGTAAAAGAGTTTTGTTTATCTACATAACTTATCAAGCCTAACTTATAATTCGATAGAGTGTCGTGTCGATTTAAAGATTTATTTGTTCAATTGAATCAATATTTGACACTTAACCATTTAAATAAATTGTTCTCATTTTATTCCTACATATTCTAGAATGAATTTTCGGGGTTTTATAATGAGCAAAAAACCGAGCTACGGAACACAAAAACCTACGTAGATCATAATGAGTAGAGGTGCTTAAATCATCACTAACGCTTCATCGGCTTTGTGAAAGTATGAAGAGAATGAACAATTACGCCTGTTTTGACTCGTCAGACGGCGGTTGTAGCTAGCAACCACAGGCGGGGCTGTAAACTCGTTTAGATCTATTCCAATAAGTTTCCTGCTCCTTACAGATTAACGGTTATAGAACATAGGGCTTGTCCTATGTTTACATGTTCTTAGTGGATGAATAGTATCAATCTCATATAAAAGAATAGTGTAATTATTAGATCCGGAATTTTGTGTGTGCGCTTAAGTCCCTAAACTTTAATGAAATTTTTATTTGACTAATTCGTTCAAGTTGTTCGAGAAAGTAAATCAAACTTTAAAACTGATGTTGTAAAGTTTCCTACATTTTTGGCTTTAATTTGTTGTACAAGTTCTCTGACGAAAGACGGACAACATAACGGCTGTGTTTGACTAAAATCTACATTTCAACCAATGTGAAATCAACCAATACATACAGCAATATATATATATATATATATATATATATATATATATATATATATATATATATATATATATATATATATTAGAAAAAATGTATATAAATACGTGCACAGCAATATAACAAGTGTTCCGTGACTCAATTCATCTATTTTTATATAAAAACATTTGTAAGCATTGTTTGTCATCATTTTTATATAAAAACCCTTTTATAAACATTTTTAACATTTTTTTATATAAAAACCCATATGAAAACATTTATGGACTTCATTTAATATAAAACATATTTTTATATAAAAATCATAACCTTTTTATATAAAAACCTTATTTTGAACATTATTGAGCAGGTCTTTTATATAAACACATAAAATACATAATTTTAACAAATATGCGCATATTTACACACAACACTTTATTTCCTTTGACAAAATAGCATTATAAAGTTATTTTTCATGTAATAATATAAATACATTTTTGGTTGTTGTTCTATGCATAAATACCCATTTATGAAAGCCCACGTGTATTTACCTATGTATATATATATTAATCATATCCATTGTGTGTCATATATATATATATATATATATATATATATATATATATATATATATATATATTTGGCACAAGTTTTTAGTGGCAAAATACGTTAGCGCCACTATAATATGTGCTTTAGTGGCACATTTTGTGACAA